CCCCACACACACACACATGGCCCATGATGCTTCCGTATATGCAGGCAGGTGCAGTGGCCCTTTTCTCGCTGGGCATCAACGAGAACCTCTTTTCATCCAGATCCTCCTCAGCCACCCCGTCAGTCAGCAACCCCATCCCTCTGCAGCCCAACCGAGACAGATTCGGCTCACGGCCGTCCCCCCTGCCGCCATCCGACCTGCGGAGGCACCACGTGCTGCTGGTGATAGACGAGGAGAGGACCCGTGCGGCCCAGTGGATCAAGGAGGTGGTCACGGGCAGGCGGCCGGAGGGGAAGGACGTCATCCGCAGGGGCGTGCCTGAGCCGCCACGTGAGAGGAGAGAGGGAGATAGATGCATGCATGTGGACCAACGGCTCTGTCCAACCATTGCTGCTGCTGTTTTGTCTGTGGTGTGGCGGTCACCGTGCAGTGTTGGGCTGCATCGAGCTCGGCTTGGCGGAGAGGCCCAACCTTGAAGGAGGGGTGTGTTCAGACAGCACACAGCCACAAACACACACACGAGGCTATCAATCAAACAATGCGATCATTCATTGTGTGCTTAAAATTGCAGCGGGAGATGTCGTGGCGAGAGGTGCTCGAGCTGACAATTCGCTCGCCCGGCCACGGCCAGACCACCCAGAGCTTCTTCACCACCATCGACAACCCGTCGCAGCCAGCGTGGACCCAGGTGCTGGGTGAGGAGGAGCCCGACGCGCTGGACGAGAGGGTGACGGTGCTGGAGAGGGGGGACAGCGGGATGGGGTGGCGGATGATTGACAACAAGACACTCGGCAAAGGTCAGTCAGATGAAAAGAAAAGGTGTGAAGTGCGCGTGTGACATCATGCCTGCGTGGATGCAGTTCAGCGTGAGCTGAACGAGATGGGCATCACCCGCTCCAAGAAATACCTTGCCTACTTCGCCAATCTCGCCGTCGCCCCACACGCAAGAAGGAAGTATGTGAGCAGGAGCAACACGTCCACTCACCGCATAGAAAGACACTCACACACACACGCCCCATGTGTGTATTGTGTGTCTGCAGAGGCCTGGGCACCCTGCTGCTGGACGAGTGTGAGCGCTATGCCCGCCAGTGGGGCTACGACGGCCTGTGGCTGTGCGTGGAGCGGTCCAACCGCTCCGGGCGGTCATTATACGTCCGGCAAGGCTATCGCCTTAAGGCCGTCGAGGTCATCAAGCGGCCACACAGCAAGCGCGTCACACTGGGGGGCCTCTTCTACGAGAAGAAGATCAGCAAGCGGCGACCGATAAAGGGGGAGCATCGTCACGATGACGATGGGGGGGAGAAGGAGAGCATCCTGGAAGCTGTGGGGAATGTGCCTCTAGCCAAGGAGGCCTTGATGGGGGTGTCCTGGTCGCTGCGGCCGATGAGCAAGGAGGACCAGCAGCAGCAGAAGCAGCAGCAGCAGACAGTGGGCAACAAAGAGGGAGGGAACAAGTAGGGTGTGAGCAATGAGCATTTCGGAGGATATAAATGTCTGTGTGGTGGGGCTTTTTGGTCGGTCGATTGCACACAAGACACAACGAATGATTCGATGCATCGATCGGGAAACGTTCCCGACGTGATGAATGAATGACTTACTTGTGTCTTATCTCTGCATTGCCTATCTCATCTTGATTCATGCCTGCTTGTAGCTGAAAGAGGGTCGGCGAAAGAGAGATCCTTATTCGGACAACCTGGCCGGCATTTTGTTTACCTTTGCGGCCCTCTTCTGAGAGTTGACGCGCCTAATTGATTGCTCTTGGAGTTCTGGCTGCCCCCGCTCCATCCGTCCATCCATTCTCTCCACGTGCCGCCACCTCGATGGACACGACCACCACCGCCACAGCAGATGCCACCATGGTGCCGCGACAGAAGGGCAAGAGCAGGGGCGGCAGCAAGCAGGACAAGGCACACGAGAAGCGGCTCAAGGAGGTGCTCAAGGAGATCCGCGACGCCAACAGACCAAACGAGCCGAACGCCATCGGTACATGTTGGACGACGCCATCCACACACACACACAGATGGATGGATGGATGGCAGATTTGCAGGGCATCTACAGTGAGCCTGTGGAGGTGGTGTATGGCGACGAGGAGATGGAGCACATCCACCGGCAGATGAAGCGCGAGATCGTGTACCCCTACAGCTCACTCATACTCTGCAACGCCGAGCAGTACGCCACCGGCGCGGGTCCGTCAGCCATCCACACACACATACACAATGAAGGGGATGGTCACAGTGTTGCCCTGTCCACGGTGGGTGAGGTGTGTTGATGTGTTCTGGTGGGTGTGGTGTGTTGATGTGTGCATGTGGTTCGGTTCATTGGTGCCGATGTACAGGTTTGAAGGACTTTGAGAAGGTGCGGGGCGCTAAGGGCGATGACGACACACGCTGCATGGCAATCGCCGTCAAGGCATCACACGCGGTGCACATACACACACACCATCTCTCTCTCTCTCTCTCTCTCTCCATCGGTGGCGCAAACACACACACGGACTCTTCTCCCTCTGTGTGGGCTGAGTGAGCAGTCTGTGGGCATCAGTCGCGGCGACATCGAGCAGCAGCTGCACGCCTTCAAAAGTGGCAAATTGTGCGGCAAGGAGCTCCCCAACGGAGACACTAAGTCAGTGAGCGAGCGACTGAGCCGGGGAAAAACCTGTGATGTGATGCGATCGATGTGTGTATGTGTGTGTGTGTGTTGTGTTTAGGTATTTGGTGAGCGCTGCGCGTGAGGCGTGCGGGCGGTACCGACTCACTTACACGAGGACAGCTACTGACTGAATGACAGGACGGACCAATGACACCACAGACTCGGGTGTGGTGTGCAGTGCACACGATGTTTTCAATCGAACGTAGTCATGAGCTGCGCACCGATGTGCCTGTCTGTCTGCTCGTCTGTCGATGTGTGTGCAGCGCTACTCGTGACCTGACCGTGTCGGTCATCGATCTCACCCCATGATCGCATCGCATCAAGAACGTGTGCGCCCCCACTTCTGTATAGAACCCCCCTCTCCCTCTCCCTCTCCCTCCTTCGTGTGGTCGCGTGTGAGTGGGTGTGGGTGTGGGAGTGCGCATGACGGACGACACAGACACAGCAAGAGAAATCAGTGCGTGAAGAGGCAGAACAGCACAGCACAGCAGCACCCGAGTCCCTCCCTACAGCGGTGTGCACTGCATGAGTATGCTCGTTGTGTGTGAGTGAATTGTATAGTCGCCATGGCATGGAGGGATGGACATGGCCGTGCGATTCGAAGACCGATCGGTCAGTCCAGTCAAGTCATCGCATCAGCCAACTGTCCTGCGTGTCGTCCCACCAACACACGCACATAAACGCAATAAATGCTCCAACAGCCACCACACACACCCCGAGCTCACACACGCCGGGCTCACTCACAGCACAGCTTGCTATCGCTCGCCGAGCATGTTCTCCGGCTTAACCCAGAGATCGAATTGCTCCTCGGTGACGTGGCCGAGCGCCACGGCCGCCTCGCGGAGAGTGGTGCCCGTCGCATGGGCGTGCAGCGCTATCTTGGACGCCTTGTCATACCTATCAGGGACACAACACACACAGTGACACAGAGTGACACACACACAGACGGTGGGGTGAATGGAATGGTCTCTCTTTCTCTCTCTCTCTGTGTGTGTCAGATACCCAATGTGTGGGTTGAGTGCAGTGACGAGCATGAGTGACTCCCGCAGCAGCTGGTCCACCCGCTGCTTGTTGCACTCGATGCCCTTGACGCACTTGTCGGCCAGCGAGCGGGAGGCGTCGGCCAGCAGCCGGATGGACCGCAGCACGTTGGACGCTATCACCGGCTTGAACACTGTTCAAACAGATCACATGACAGACACATCAATGTGTGTGGGGCCGGGGGAAATGGCGTGTTGTGTCCCTACCGTTGAGCTGCATATGGCCATTGCTGCCGGCGATGGTGACGGCTGTGTGGTTGCCCATCACCTCACAGCACACCATCGTCACCGCCTCGCCTGTCGATTGGCACACAGACGAGACGACACACTCGTGAAGTGATATAATGCCATCCACGTATTATCGTCCGTGTGGCTGTGATGTGCTCTTGGCACACACACACACATCAGACGCACACTAAGCACATTAATGAATTACATTGTGTGGGGTTGACTTTGCCGGGCATGATGGAGCTGCCGGGCTCGTTGGCCGGCAGCTGCAGCTCGCCAATGCCGCAGCGGGGGCCGCTGCCCAACAAACTGAACTCACACACATAACAGACACACATCTATCCGTCCATTCATCGCAAATAACATATCGACATACCGACATACCGGATGTCATTGGCGATCTTCATGAGTGACGTGGCTGTGGCATTGAGGGCGCCGTGCAGCTCCACCAGGGCGTCGTGACACGCCAGCGCCTCAAACTACACACACACACACACACACACGATGACGGGCACACGACCGTCCATCCATCCACTCTTCGAGTCGATGCGTGTGTCGTGGGTAGGGTGAATGAGTGGAAGAGCCCTCCGCTCACCTCATCTCACCTTGTTCTCGGCCGTGACGAATGGCAATTCCGTCTCCCTCGCAACCTCAGCCTAAACACACAGAGGGATGGATGGTCTTGGTCTTTCTCTCTCCGTCTCTCCGACACGCACACACACATACAGCGAATTCCTCCGGGAATGCCTTGTAGCAGTTGATGCCCGTCCCCACCGCCGTGCCGCCCTGCGCTAACGCCATGACGTCCTGCAGGCCCCGCTGCACCCGGACCACCGAGTTGTCAACCTGACACAAACACCCCCACAGCACAGAGAGAGAGAGAGAGGGGTGACGGATGGAATGGATGTGTGGATGCGTTTCTGTCTGTATGGGCCGACCAGACCTACCTGTTTTCTGTAGGCTGAGAACTCGTCGCCCAGTGTGAGCGGCGTCGCATCCTGTCCGACGCAAACGGACGGTGGGGCGTACAGTACACCGTGTGTGGGTATGTGTCATCCATCACTCACATAAGTACTTGCCTGCATGTGTGTGCGTCCGATCTTGACAACCGACTTGAACTCCTCCTCCTTGGCCCACAGACTCGCCGCAAAATGCTACGGTGGACACACACAACACACCGGGGGCGGGCAGGGCACCACACCTGCATTCATTGCATGTGTTGTGTGTGCAGTGCACACCAGGTCCGATCTAGCTAGGCACTCACTGACCTGTAGAGCAGGGATCAGGCGGCGATGACACTCCACGGCAGCAGCGACGTGCATCGCTGACACACAGACACCACACACACACATAAACAAGGAGGGGGCGGACTAACTAGAGAGAGTGTGGCAGAAGAGTGTAGCGTGCCCACACACCCACAGGCAGACGCACAGGTACTCACCTGTGGGGAAGGTGTCGTTAGACGACTGAGCGTGGTTGCAGTGGTCGTTGGGGTGGATGGGCGACTTGGTGCCCAGCGGCTGGCCCAGCAACTCGTTGCCGATGTTGCTCAACACCTCATTCTGCACACACACATTCACACACACATACACAGGGGGAGAGGGGATGGATGGACGTCGGGCCTGCCCATCCCATACATCCCCTCTCTCACAACGCAACGCCCCATACCATGTTCATATTCGACTGAGTGCCGGAGCCGGTCTGCCTGCACACACACACACACACACACACACACGCACACCAATACACACAAGGCCTCCCTCCCTCCCTCCCTCCCTCCCTGGCTCAGGCAGGCAGGCAGGCAGGCAGTCAGGCAGTGACTCACTGACCAGACGACCAAGGGGAACTGGTCCATCATGCTCTCCTCATTCAGCACCCTGTCGGCCGCACGCACTATCGCACCAGCCACCTTGGAGTCGATCTTCCCGTGCTTGCCATTCACACGCGCGGCACATCTACACACACACACACACACAGACAGAGAGAGAGAGAGAGAGAGACCCACAGAGAGAAGGAACGGCACCTCACGCAGCGGAACACGCGCAGACACACACAGCCAGCTCACTTCTTGACGGTTGCGAGTGCCGTGATGAGCGGCCGCGGCATTCGCTCGTTGTCGGATATGCGAAAGTTATCCAGAGAGCGCTGCGTCTGCGCGCCCCAGTACCTATGGCCAACATAACACATGAATGAGCGTGAGGAGTCCATTCACACGCATCCTCACGCAGCACGCCCTTATCACTCTCCCTCACTTGTCGGCCGGCACCTCCACCTCTCCCAAAGAGTCCTTCTCCACGCGGAATGACGACATCGACCGCAATGATTCACAGCACCGAGATCTATGAGAGGCGTGGAACCCTGACAGCACACCAAGACGAGAAGGCTCCGACAAGAATGGCTTGTAGCGATGAAGCCACATCGGGGAGATCTGCCGTCGCGCGATCTGTTGGGCGATGGCGCGTCTCAAATGGGGGCCGATCTGCTTGCTTTCCCCAGGACGAATTCGCAAGGGAAACGAATTCGTCCTTCTTTCTGCCGTCGGTGGTCTGTCCGTGAAGGCGAAGTAGCGAACGAACGCAGCGCATCGACGTCTGCAGTGTGAGACATGGGGAGGATGGCGAAGGTCTCTGTTGACTTGGAAGCTGGTCCCGCCCTGCCGCTGCCGTCCGTCGCGCTGTCGCCAAGGAACAGACAGACCTGGTCACACCGATGGAGCGACCGCCTCTTCGAGCGCCACACCCATCCGCTCTCCTGTCTGCTGGGCCTCTCCATCCGGCCGTCCCTGGCGCATTTCAAGGCGTGGACTGTAAAGAAGCTGGCCGTATCGTCTTACAGGCGGACGCTGCTGACGCTGCTGCTACTGCAGGTGCTGGGAGCGGCGGCGATTGTGGTGTCGCTGTTCTTGGAGCCCCTGTCTGTGGGGCAGCTGGTGGTCGTTGGGGTGGGGGGGCTGTGTCTGCTGGGATTTGTGGCCGTCAACCAATACTACAGGAGGAAGATCAGGGAGTAAGTAGGCGGCCGATCGCTCTCTCTGGTGTGCATCTCTCCCTTTCCTTTTGCTTGTCTGTCTTGTCTGTCTGTGTGTGAAATGAATGTGCAGCTTCTACAACATCCCTGAAAGCGACATGTGCGACGACTTCTGCTGCGTCCTCTGCTGCGGACCATGGTAAACCTTTTCCCTCCTGCCCACACACACAGGCACACGCATTTGCCTCTCTCCTTCCCTATCTCTCTTCAGCACCATTTTGCAAGAGTATCGGCATCTGCTGCGTGCCCTCTCGTATAAGAAGGACAAGCGGCGCCGGTCGTCGCCTCAAGGCTTTGAGCGAATGGGGCGGACGGGGCTCATCATGGTGCCGCTCAACAAGGGCTCTGGCAGTGCCATTATTGGTAGCGGCACCACCGTTGCTAGTGGCGGGAGCGGCGAAAGCAATGGGCCGGGGCTTGGGGTGGGGCTGGGGATCTCTTCAAAAGGGTCGAGAGTTAGTGCTGCGCCTTCTGTGAGGTTCAGTATGACAGAACTCTGATGAATAAGGATACGTCATTGATCGACAGACACCACAGAGCGAGAGGCGCACAGAGGTCCTGGCAGACCCAGGGACGCATGCCTCAGCGCCAAGAGTAGCAGCACGGGCATGTAGCATCTTCACACACACACGTCAGGAGGGCTGAGTGCTGAGAACGACTGATGACAAATGCAGTGGACTCGCAATGCATTGGACCAGCGGCAAACTATGCCGGGCCGAAGAGACAGAGACATAGAAAGAGAGAGAGAGAGAGAGCGCGAAAAAAAGCCTCAGAGAGAGAGCAGCAACAGGCCGTGTGCGGGCAATAGCTACCACAACCAATTGCAGCCAACAGCAAGGGCACTACTTACTCCCCCTTGAGATAAACCAGCCACGGGGGACACCTACTCGCCCCCACTCCCCCAACAGGCGTCACAATCAGCCGCCCACTCTGGCCCTTCTCGCCCTTGAAGCTCACAGCAATCCCCACACCCTTCCGCGCGTCGATCTTCTGCACGCCCGCACCCCCGAGCACAAACGCAGGATTGTCGATCTCAAGAGAGAACTCGGTCGCAGCGGCGAAAGGGTTCTTGAAGTCGACGGAAGAGGCCTTGCCAGAGGGGATGGTGACCGGGCCTTGTGGCTGGGGGGGCAGGGCTATGCCGACGAGGAGGGCCTGGTACTCGAAGCCTTCTGGCGACTTGAGTGTGAGGATGGCGCGCATCTCCTCGAGCTGGCAGGGGACGAAGCGGATGTCCAATTGGACCTCTACACCTGCACACACACGCACACACACAGAGAGATAGAGGGAGAGATGGCGTGTGTGTGTGGGTGTGTGGGTGGGTGTGGATGTGCACCGTTGCCGGTGGTGTCCGCCTGTGCTGCGATGCCCTTTGCCGCGTCCATCACAAAGACGTCGCTGAATGGGGGTGGGGGGGAGGAGGGGGAGGGGGACTCAGCAGGGGAGGACAGAGCCACCTGAGACACAGATCCAGCCATCCATCCCTCCATGTGTGTGTTTGCGGGCAGATGGGGCTGAGCAATGGACTGACTTGATAAGACGTCGGCTTGGCCCCAAAGTGCAGGAGACGGAAGGTCTGCACGGTCTCGCGGCCTGCATACCACACACACCACACACACACAGATACCGATCCGGCTGCTGCCAATGAGATCTGCGTGTGTGTGTACCAGCCACCAGCCCACCCACCGAGCGGCGCTTTGAAGGTGATGGTCTTTTCCAGCCCCGCTGGCCGTGCCGTCCACATGAGCTGATACCGATATGTGCCCAGGACGTTCTTCTCGCTCGCCAAGGTCACCTTCTGCTCCCCTGCAGGCCACACACAGAAACAAACGCACTGAGCGGACGGACGACGGAGGTGAGCGGGGAGAGAGGCGTGAAGTGAAAGCCTCACTCACCTGATCCGACAACCGTCGGGCGGTATAGCACGTCGAGTGTGCCTTTGGTGTTGGGCTCCACGGCGAAGGGCTGGGGGGCGAACTTGACCTCAGGATGATCACACTGGCACGTGAAGGCCACAGCCTGACACACACACACACACACACACGGCGAGGAGAGACAGCGCTGAGAATCCGCCCACACACAGAGAGAGAGGGACACGGACACGTGACGCAGAGAGCCATACGTGTTTCAAAGGGTTGAACACAGTCACAGCCGTCTTGCACACGTGCCGCACCACGCCGTCCATCCGCAGCACCCCCAAGCTCTCCCCCTCCTTGAAGCCCAGCACCGCCTCCCCATTCAAGTACTCGCCCGTCTGCACCTGCGTCAGCCGCACCAGCACACGAGCCGCGGCAACCTCCTGATACGCCAGCACCGTGAACCGGTAGTCTCGCGACTGCCCGGCAGGCAGCTCGAAGGAATCCGTCGACTGCACACACAAAAATTGGAGACATCCATCAGAGTCTTTTCTTCTCCGTATCAGATCGCCGACTTGCCTCGATTTTGAAGGCCTCGGCGGCCTCTGAGCCGGCGGCTGGTTCGACGAGGGCGACTTCGGCTCTGAATTTCTGTCTGATTGGGAGCCAGTTCTTGAAGGGGATGGCGACGGCGGAGAGCACTTTGCAGGGGAGGGAGAGCTCGACGCGGGAGTCGATCTCGGGGGGGAGGGACTTGCCCGACAGCCTGACGTGTGTCGTGCAGAGATGTATATGTGTGTGTGTGTGTCCATCTCCCCCCTCTCTCTCTCTCTCCCCTTTATGAGTGTGTGTTGGAGAGGGGGGTCTTTCGTACTGACTTGTATTGGAGCGCGTTGCCATCGGGTGTGGCGATGAACAGCAACCCCAGGTGCTCCGCTGGCTCCGTCACCCTCTTTCTCTCCCTAAACACGCCCTCACCCACACCACCTGATGGTGCCGGCTTCTTCTCCTCTTTCTCCTTCTTGTCGTCCTTTTTCTTGCCGCCCTTCTCGGCCGCTGGCGGCGGGGGCGCATCGGCGGCCGGCTCGTCAGCAGCTGCCGGCTCGGCTGTCATGGTAAACGGCCTGTATGTGACGGTGAGCACGCCCTCGCCACTTGGGGGGATGGACAGGGTGTCTGTAGGGGAGACCGCCCAGTACACCTGCGCCTTTGGCTCGTCTGTCCTGATGACTGGCGTGACTGTCCAGGGGGTGGCTGTGGGATTGGGCACCTTGACGGTCTCCTTCTTCTCGGTGCGGACGGGAGTGGCGAATGAGAGTGGCTTGACGGACTCTTCTGCGAGGGAGAGGCCTTTGCCGGTGACGCCGATGGTGAGCTGGATGGTGGGGGGGCCCTCGATGATGCACTGCACCTCCAATGAGAGCTCGCGGGGATGCGCCTGACACAGGCACACACACACACACACACACAGAGAGAGGGAGAGAGAGAGAGGGCCACTCCTCCCTCTATCTATCAATCTTCAGCAAATCAGTGGTGGCTGGCCAGAAGCCTACCGTCTTGGGGTGGAAGGCAATCTCGATCGCGATGTCCTCCTGCGGCGCGAGGTATCCCTCCATGGGGCTGAAGCCCAAGAGCCCGTTCTCCCTCCCCCTCTGCGGCAACACAAAGCGGAACTTGCTCCCCACGTCGCCCCCATTATGCAGCCGACCGTGCCGCACCGCCCGGGAGTTGACAATCACCGCACCAAACCCCACTGTCTGCGGCGTGAATCGCACTTCGGTGGCGTAGCTCTTCCCAGCAATGGTTGTGACGGGGAGGGACGTGGATGGCAGATTCTCAGGCACGGCAACCAGCGGCAGTCGGAATGGGGGCACCTTGCTCGTCGGCGCGAAGGAAATGTCGATCTGCTGCATGTCTCGTGGACGGAGAGAGATGGGCATGTCGGGGAAGAAGGTGACGGCGTGGTCTTTGAGCCGGTGGGAAGAGTCCTCTAGGGAAAAGGCCACCCGGCGCTCCGACCTGTTGACGACCTTCACCGATCTGCTGGCCCTCTGCCCCGCCAACACGCCCCCGAAGTCGATGAGCGCCATGTCGCTCGATGAGAGTTCCAAGCGGAGAGGGCACCCTTTGCCCGAGAGGGTGACTGCCATTGGTGTGTGCTCGTTGAGGACAAAGACGACCCGTTCTCTGTAGGTTTTGTTGGGCTCTTTTGGTGAGAACACGATGGGGACGGAGAGGGAGTCGTTGGCGGGGATGGTCGACTGGTGCAGGAGCACTTGCAGGTGATCCACACCACTGCAACCAAGACACACAGACACACACACACAGGGAGAGAGAGGGGGGGGGGAAGACGAAAATGAAGCGGCTTACGCAAAGTCCGTCGCAATCGTGCAGTCCTGCTCCTCATCCTTATTCGTAATAACCAGCTCCTTAGTCACCGCCCCCTCATCAGCGGGGTGCTCGATCGGCGGCAAAGATGGCGACCCTCCACTAATGTCCGGCCGGACAAAGCACGGGCCGAAGTCGTGGTGGTGGAAGGAGAACTCGACGAGGGGGCGGGACGATCTCCCGGTGAGCTCGATGGTGTAGCTGCGGCCTCCCGGTATTTGGCATTGGATGAGGGTGCCGTCCAGAAGGTGAGGCTGCAGGGGGTGGTACGTCACGTCAAAGGAGGTCTTGGCGCCTGCATTGGTGTGACATGGTCTTGTTCTTGTCTCTCTAAGCTTTGGTGGGCAGTCGTGTGGTGCACCACTTTCTATCCACCCACCTTGTGTGGCGATGCCTTGTGCGGGCGTGATGGTGATGAAGGGTGGCACCGCGCCGGAGTCAGCCGGCGGCTGGGGCGTCCCGTCCCTGGGCCTGGGGGACACACACACACACACATCCATTCCCACCCCCACCACAGCACAGAGAGAGAGAGAGGAGCTAGGTGGCCCACTTGATTTTCCAGTTGAAGTCGAAGCTGAATTTGCCCCTGTTGACAAGGCCCAGCTTGTAGGCCCGCCGCTCCATCACCGCCAGCTGACCGAAGGAGACCCGCTCCAGTGCCGCCTCGGCCCCAGTGGTCAGTTCGGGGACCGACCGGATGCGGCCGTCGTCCTCCTCGATGATCAGCTCCTGGACACACACACACATGCACAGACACACACATGTGTGTGTGCTCTCTGTCTCTCCCTGTGTGTGTGTCCGGGAGACCTGGTTGATGGCGTACCCCTCCCCCTTGATGTTGAGCGTGATGGGCCTCTGCTTCCGCCGCACGCGGCACACCAGATTCAGGTTGACCGCCTTCTCAGCCGTGGGGCGGAAGTCAATCTCCAACGGCACTGACGCGCCTGCGCGCACACCACAGGAGAGCACAGAAGAGCACAGAAGAGTGTGCGTGTGTGTGTGTGTTGGGGGAGGGTGGGATGTGTGGGTGTGTGTGCCTGGTGAGACGACGCCGTTGAGTGGGGTGACAGTGATGGTGCCGTCCGCATCGCCCGCCTGGCTCTCAAGCGACAACCTACCATACACACACACACACACACACAGAGAGAGAGAGAGAGAGGGAGACGTGTGTGTGCATGGGTACCCCCTCCCTCCCTCCCTCCCTCCCTCTCTCCCTCCCTCTCTCCCTCTCTCCGTGTTAATTACTTGTCGACGGCAAAGCTGA